ACTTCTTCCCTTTTGTGATGAAGAGTGAAAGATATGCTGTAGTGTCTTGATTTTTCACAAGGCATGACAAATGTCTCTTGGTACATTTTATTATTGTTGTGATTATTATTTGCAAGGGAAAATAACAGACAGATTATTCCTGCAGTACTTTGGTAATCTAATGTAGAAATGACCACAACTATATCCATATAATGCTGATGAGGGCACCAAGCTCACTGGTCTCTGGTAGAAGCCTCCAGGACCTTATTCTAGGCCCCTTTATCTTCCAGAATGTGATCAGTACCTCAGCTGAGGATTGGCAAGACAGGCTTATCACCAACACGGAGGTTGGAAGAGTAGAGACAAGATATGAGTATCAGGATCTAAACAGACACTTAAAAGGGTATGGTAAAGCAAATTTTACAAGAGGATAGATTATACAGAAAAAAACGTCAAATGGGAAATAATGTAGCAGCAGCAATTGACAGAGGGATTGTGGAATTTCCATCCACTGGAGCCTGATTGTTTTGTTTGTGTGGCTGCCAAATGCACTGCTGAATACCTTAGAATGTGTTAACTGAGTTGACAGCAAGACAGTGATTCTTCTTTCCCATGTGGAACCTCAGTCCCTGTCTCTAACACTGCTTTAAATTACTGTGCTCAGCTTTCATCAGCACACTTTGAGAGTAAAGTTAACATTCTGGAACAAGTTCATATAGAGTTAACTGATTGGTGAAAATACTTGAATTCATATTGAAATCGACTAATTTCCCCCATAGAACCGATATTTATGGACTTTTAAAAAAGAGACATTGAAATGGACCCTTCTGATCTTAAAACTTACATTTGCCTTACCTGAGTGCCTTTCACAGGAGACTGGCCCTCAGGCAAGGGCCTGAAACTCACCAGAACACTGCATCCAGAAAATGAGCTGCCAGATCCCTCATTTATCATGATTGATTCATCATGATTACCCCTCCCTAATCACTGTTTTACATTTCTTTTCCCACTATGTAAACCCCCAATTTCAATCAGTCAAGGAAACTGACCTCCCTTCCTCATTGGTTAATATGACCAAATTAAAAAGGCATCTTTCCTGGCTATACTTGACTCAGTGATTGGCTTTCTGTGAGACTAGCAACAGGACTCCAAACAAACCCCTGGTGTTTGGGGAACAATGTCCAATTCCCACTGTAAAGATGAAGATACGGAGGATCCCAGGTGTATTTGGATTGCCTTAGATTGTAGGACTGATATGTGGTGAAGCTCAGTGTTCTAACCTAGGCATCCTGATCCTGAATCCAGTGTCTTGTCACCATAACACTGCTTTGTTTTCTCCCTTCCCCCTTCAGATAAAGTTTCTGATTCAGGATGTCAAGCTGTCGGTATTGAGTTTTCACTTCATTTCTCAAAAAGACGGGTTCATCTTCTGATGAAAAGAAACCTCATCTAATGGAATGAGCCCTCATAACCCCTTACTGCTGAGGCTGGACTTAAAATGTTTGTATCCCTTCTTTCTCTTTCTCTCGGTTACCTGAGTCTTGTTTGCCCTTAGAGTCTCAGTTCCAGTCCCTCTTGATGTGAAGCCGGCCACAAGCCACAAGCACTCGGCAGCATAGGCTCCTCAGCCCTCCTTCAGTACTCTTGAGCTCTTTAACGTCATTCATTTATTCTTGCTTGCGCTGGTCCACCTACAAATACGTATAGAGTGCCTGCTACTTGTCAGGCATTTTTGTAAGTGCTAGAATATTACAATGAGCCAAACAGAGAATATCTGATCTCCTGGATCATACTGTAGAAAGCGGTTGATGAAAACAAGAAAATTAATCTAAAAAGGCAGATGATCATATAAGTGTTGCAAAGAAAAATAAAGCAGGTTAGTGGATTCACTACATTGCTGGGTAGAGGACTGTTCTCTTAGAAACAATCAGGAAGAATCTGGGATATGATGATGTTTAGGAAGAAATTGAAAATAAGTTAAGTTGAGTCATGTGGATATTTTGGAGGGAGAGTGTACCAGACAAGAGAATAGCAAAATGCCAAGATTTTGAGGTGGGGTATGCTTGATACAGTTGAAGAAGAGCAGGAAGACCTGTGTCCCTGGAGGGGAGTGGGCATTCGTTGTGCTGCCTGATATTGACAATGTTTCTAATCTGTCTGTTCTGTGGCTACAGACACACTGTAACTCAACTACTGTGTTGGAGATGATAGTTGTGGCTAGAACTGCATTATGAAGGCTAAATAAATTGATATATAGTATACACTGCAAAGTATGCATAAAGTATGTAGTATATATGAGTAACAATTCCTTAAAAATAGTGCTACAGAAGTTTTAGTTTTTATCATTTTGTAACACATATGCAATTTTAATTGTTAAGGATAAGAAGACCTGAATTTTATTTATTTTTTTTTTTGAGTTGGAGTCACCCAGGCTGGAGTGCACTGGTATGGCTCACGGCCACCCAGTGTTGACCTGCTGGGCTCCGGCAATCCTTCCACCTCAACCTTCCAAGTAGCTGGAACTATAGGCGTGCACTACTATGCCTGGCTAATTTTTTAAAAAATTTATTGTAGAGACGTGGTCTTGCCAAGTTGCCTGGGCTGGTCTCGAACCCATGGACTCAGGTACTCCACTCGCCTCGGCCCCCCAAAGTGCTGGAATTATAGGCTGAGCCACCACATCCAGCCAAAAACCTGAATTTTCAAATGCTGAAATGTTCAAATGTTATATGTGCACATAAACATATATTTGCTCATATGTGCTAATTAATGCAAGCATTAATTTTGAATATATCAAGTTAGTTGTTTGGATAAAGTATTCAGGAATATTCCTCAAATTAATCTTTCTCCCATTTTCAGTGTAACTGATTTAGTAAAAAGAAGTTAAAAATAGCCAAGCATTCCAGCCATATGACATTAGGCAAATTAACTTAGCTGCTTTAGACTGCAGTTTTCTCCTCCATGAAACAGAATATTGATTGATTGATTCGTTTTTAAATTTCAACTTCTGGGGAACATACACAGACTAGTTACATAGGTATATTGTGATGGTGAAGTCTGGGCTTCTACTGAACCCATCACCCAAGTAATGTGCATGGTACCCAATAGGTAGCTTTTCATCCCTTGATCCTTTTCCTCCTTCCCCCGTTAGGAATCTCCAGTGTCTGTTTTTCTCATCTTTATGTCCATGTGTACCTAGTCCTTAGCTCTCACTTGTGAGAGCATCATGATCATTATCTCAATTTGACCCTCAGGCTCCAGAGGTATTGCAAAGGTCTTTGGGAGTAGCTCTTTTCAATTCTAAATGGAATTGCTTTTGCTACTCTCCCACAATTTTGGTTGCATATCTGAATACTTGGGAAAGGCTCTTAGGCAATTTTTGTGTGAAAGAAATTATTTCTACCACATGCTAGAACAAAGCCTGGCTTGCCCACATACTATCTTTCAGATTCGATTTCCATGTCTGGAATGTGAAAGCGTGGCACACTTTATCTTATAATTTTTTAAACACAATACAACAACCATGATGATGCTGACGCTAGTGATTAGTATGAAAGATGGTCATAATAGTTAATGGGTATGGAGAGTTATCCATTTGCCAAGTACTGTTCTAAGTCATTTTCTCTTAACCCTCATAGCCCTATGAAGTAGGTACTTGTTTTCTGGCTGAGGAAATGGAGAAATCCAGAATGTTTGGAAGAAAACTTGTTTTCTGGCTGAGGAAATGGAGAATCCAGAATGTTTATGCAACTTCCTAGAGGACAGTTAGTGGGAAGGGGAGCCAGGTTTTATACTAGTTTGTTTGACTCTGTGAATTGAAAGTGGATAATCCCAGTCAGGCTCGGTGGCACAGCCTTTTTCCTCCATGAAGTAGAATATTGATTGATCGATTGATCACTGTCTGTGAGGGAATTGATAACCAGTAAACAAATACCTGTATTGGTGCACCCTTCCTACTCACCTGATCTGGCCCCCAGTGACTTTTTTCTTTACCTGATGATAAAGGAAATATTGAAAGGAAGACGGCCGGGCTCGTGGCTCAGCCTATAATCCTGCGCCTTTGGGAGGCTGAGGTGAGTGGATTGCCTGAGCCCGTGGGTTCGAGACCTGCCTGGGCAACGAGGCCTCATCTCTACAATAAACCAAAAACTCAGCCGGGTGTGGTAGTACATGTCTGTAATTCCGGCTACTCAGAAGACTGAGGCAGAAGGATCGCTGGAACCCAGCAGGTCGAGGCTGCAGTGGCCAGGAGCGGCCACTGCACTCCAGTCTGGGCAACAGAGTGAGACTCCAACTCAAAAAAAAAAAAAAAAAAAAAAGAAGGAAGACATTTTGATGACATTCAGGGCATCCAGGGAAATACAATAACAGCTCTGATGGCCTTTTTAGAAAAAGAGTTCCACAATTGCTTTGATGGGTGGCCTGGTGTTGGTGCATAGCTTCTCAGGGGGAAAGGTGACCGTAGTGATATTCAGCAATGAGTTATGTAGTACTTTTTCTAGGATGAGTTCATGAACTTAATTGTCAGACCTTGTATAGTTGAGTTTTGAGACTCCCAAGTCTTAATCTTGCTATTAGCAACATGGCCACTGTATTTATTTGCAGATAGAGACAAATGCATCATAGTAGTTATCTCTACTACTTATTTGTATCCTTTTGTTAAATTTTGCAGAAACATTTATTTTTTCACAAAATTGCCTCCAGATTGCTGTTTATTTGTTAATATTTCTTCTTTATCTTCTCATTCCCTTCTTACTTTTCATGTTTTTGATAAATAACTTGCGAGTAAACATCTGAGAGTTGTCAAGCCTCAACTTCAATTGTGAAGGAAAACAGAAGCATATTCTTTGTGATGGTTCCTTCTCTATGGGACAATGTAGCATTTCAGATATAGCTATAGTTGTGAGCCTATTACTTTAACAAGTTGTATTGTGTACATTATTCTCTAACTTAAAACATCGTGAAATAAACTGTAACTAAAAGGGGAAAAACAACTAGAGATATTTATTGCAGAAAATAAAAAAGTTAACCAAAGTATTTTATTGATACATTCTTGGACAATATCACAGAATTGAAAGATAATGGAAAGAGGGAATTTTTCAGCAAGGGTTTTTTTCCACTAAATTGGCACATAAGCAGCAAGATTAACGAAAGTACTTATTACAAACAGTAAAAAACATACATGCTTTTTATTTTTTAAGTCCTTATCACACTGATCAGTCAAAGGGGGGCATGAACAAAACCTCAAGACATGAAAAGTCCATATTCTTTCCTTCAAACAGCTTAATAATTATTAAAATTATTGCAAAATATCCATATACTCTAATTAAAATAACAAAAGAGAACACAAATACAAATATTGAACATAATAAACATGTACTGTAAAATACATTACTGGCATGCATTCCCAAGATCAAGACCTCTATTCAGTTCAGTTAATACTTTCCTTTTATATAACCTATCATATACCAGAGATAGGTAGGGCATACTTTCTCAGCACAGTTTTTGGTCTTTAAGTATCTTTTTTGTTTTAAAAAAAATAATGTAATTTGCAGTGGTACTATAATTGTAATTATACAGTCATGTACAGATGTGTTTTTCCTTTTTAGTCTGCTGAGATCTTTTAAAAATTTTAACTGTTTTAAAATTTTCCCAAATATTCCGCCGTCTGAGAGAATAGGGCTCTATGAAAACAGGGCATTCGAAAAACAAACAGTGAACCGAGGTACAACATCAGATGGCAAAGTGCAAAAGTCCTCACAAACTGTACAGAAAATTTCAAAACCTTGCAACCTGGAAGTACATACGTAGAAAGACAGGTCAGCCCCAAAACGGTCCTGTGGCTCTCAGTGGTCCATTCTAAAGAGCCTGGGTGGGACTTGAGTCTCAACACTCCCTTCTAGAGGGAAGGTCCAAAATTGCAGCCGAGTTGGCAGTGCTGATGCCAGTGACTTATTAAGCCAAGATAAAGTAAGGATATTTCATAAAGCAGCTGTTTAGGTCACTTGGATCCTCTAACATTGGTCTCCCGGCTGGGGAAGCTCCTCCGGTGATGGGAAGCGGGTAGGACCAAAGAGTCCTGTGCCAGGTTGGGTGACAGAATAACTGAGGGTCTTCCTCCTCCAAGGTTCCATGGAATGGAACAGGTTAGATAACCAGGTTATTATAACTGACATACTTCTTTTTTGCAGCAGGGCCTGAAAGAAAAATTGGAAAGAGTCAGTTGTGGCAAGGACCCTGTTTGCAGAGGTAGAAGTAGAATTAGAATTTTGTGCTTGAGATGCAAAATTTGGGTAGGATGACACAGCTTAAATTTCTCTGACTATTGCTCAGGCTTTGTCCACTAAAATCTGTACTTCCCACTGATTCTCAAAACACTTGTGTTCTCTTATCTGAGTTATATCCGGCCTCCCTCTTTATGTTATTTAAGGTTGGTAAATTTATCAGTGGTTGTCATGCTTTCTAATTAGCCAGCCCTCAACTTAACGGGCCCACCCATGTTGCAGTATGTTTCATTGTGTGTGATCTTCCAGAATTTTTTTTTTAACAAATGGTATTTGTTTGGGAACGATCTGTCCTGGAACATTGGAATTAATTGAGGCTGACTACAGATTATGTCCACCAGAGTTCCTTCTCTGGTGCTGATCCACACAAATAACTATAGACGGCCTTGTATGGTGTTATCAGTAAGTCATAAATACTAATTTGCAGAACTATTTCCAATAAGGTTTGAAGCTCACGTAAATCTGCCAGGTGTCTCAACTTTTATAATCTACATTTGTTGTCCTTAAATGTAGAAATTATTTTTTCATTTGGTACTGTGATATTAGGACTCACCTTAACTCATTCAGGTGGTCAATATGTGTCAATTGCCTACCATATAGCAGACGTAAGGCTAGGCACTGAGAACAGAGTACGTTCTTTCCTGTCCTCATGCTGGATACAAAGACCCAGGGGCCCTAAGTATGACTCTGCTTTAAGTTCTAGACCTCAGTACCAAGTAATACAATTGTAGGGATGTGATATATTCTTTATTGATTAAATCTGAGTAGTTTTGCATCAGTTTCTGTTGGATACAATATGACTGTCATGTAGCATGATGGTCTTATTTTGCTCACTCTTCTTAGATTCTAAATAGAATTGTTCATTCAACACAGAAAAGTAGCAAGAATTCTTCCAGAAGCCTTAAGTAGGGATTCTGTGTGATTTTAGAGAAACTAAGAGGCTCCATTACCATACTGAGAGAGGGTTTGCATGTGAACTTTAAGGAGTACACCCAGTATGTTATAGATGCGCATATGATCAAATACGTTATTCAAAATACTGTATACTGTACAAAATGATTGATCTTATTTTCTGGATTAAAAATTAGGACTCTCCCTCTGACAAATTTTGATTTGAAGACTCATTTCTCTATTAAATCATATGGCATTTATTAACTTAAAATAATAAGAAAAATAGAATTATGAAATTCAGGATTTTCTGGAAAATCTGGTTATGAGAATTTAGTCATACTGTATTCTCACTTGATAAACACATGACCTCAATAATACTCAAGTCTTCTAAGAAGTTTCCCATTGTTGTCACAATATTGTCTTCAAAATATGCTTGTTTTCAGTACAAGGAGAAACATTTTCTAAAGATGTTTCTTGACTCTGAAGCTTATTTTCAATGTCATGGCTAGAAAACCTCAGTTGACAGTTGCAAGTAATAGTCATAGCATGATTTGTCAAATGTTACACACTAATTATCCTTAGGACAAAAGAGGAACCACACAAACAAAAAACCCCAGAAGCTTGTACTGACCTAAATTTTCTGAGACCACCTCTATTGTGTGATTAAGACTGTTCAAAATAAGCATAACTGTGTAGTGAACACAAATATTAATTTCCTCAAGATGGTTACTATAAAACACCAGTTACTCAGGAAGAATTTTTACTGAAAGAATAAGTAGGTTAGCAAATATAGTCCCTGTATTGTCAAGCTGAGCATTGGTTTGGATTAAATTAATATCAAGATGAGATTATGCTCTAAAAATCATTAGAAATGATAATGAGGACACTCACTGTTGCTTTTCATGGATTATCTTCTTGAGTTCTCATATAGCCTTGAGAGATAGGTACTAAGTATAATTCCGATTTTACATAGCAAGTGTCTGAGGCTTAGAGTGACCTGTATCCCAAAATTCAGTTGTTTTACATTTGAATTTGTACTTCCCTCTCCATGTTCTCATGGAAAGTCCACACTACAGCTAGAACCACCTGACCTGGGTTCTGATTCAACTCCATCACTTAAGGATGACCTAGCCCAGTGCTATGATGATGAACTTCTCAGAGTTTTTGTAACATGAGAAGAGTAATTGTAACCCTATGCACTGCTGATTGTACTAGTGTATAAAATATCCTAGTTTCTCATTTGGCATTGTAATGTATAAATGTATTTTAAATTACAAAGTTCTGTACAAATATAAGCTTTCTTTGCAGAATTGCTTAGGAACATTGCCCCAACATTATAATGAAGTTTTTGCAGGTCCTAGAAGGGCAATTTATGTACTTTTCACCCCAATGTCCAATATGTTATAATGTTTACTTTTAAACTACTCTAGTCCTATGAGTAAATAAAATAAGTGCCTATGGCATCTGATTGATAATTCCATTTATTTATTTGAATAGTAATGTAGTTTATGGTTCAGGAAAGAAAATTGCTTAGTTCAAAATAGTTGTGCAATGAAACACCTGCTAAGGAAATATACTTTTTATTTTAAAATAGCTAGTATGCTTTTTCTCATTTAAAGTTATAGATTCCAAGGAAGAATAATAGTATATGGCATTATCCTTATTGACTTTTTAAAACAAGCTACGTAAGTAGTTCTCAAAGCAAGGTATCTTGAAGTGTTTATGTTTACAGTGAGATAGTGTTAAGAACGTTTTTTTAAAAAATGAAGTACCTTTGCTACTTAAGAAAGGTCAGACATTCCAAATTGTTCTTGATTTTTTGTCAAAATCAACACTCAATTTGACTTTAACTTCACTGATTGTTTTCTCTTAGATTTTCTCTGAGCCTTTGGTCTCACAAATTTTTTTTTTCTTAATGTGTGTTCTATGAAGCACTTGTAATTCAGATTAAAGGAAGTGAAGAATAAGAGGAAAAATTTGAAAAAGAATGACTATCATGGATTTTATGTTGCAGAAACACTGAATAAGTAAATTAAACAGGACTTTTTTCTCAACTCTATATTTAATGTCTTAATTTTTTTAGTAAGAAGTATTGCAGCTTAAAGCTTGTGTTCTCATAAGCTCTTCTTATAAAATTAAATGTGTATATACATGCACATCTGTATAAGAGCATGTATGAAGTGATTAAAACACTCACAAAGGTAAAAAGAACACAAAATATAATGTCAACCCTGAATATAATACATGTTAATATACTGATATCTTTGTCTTAGGTGCTCCCTCATCCACTCAAAGGGAAAAAAACATAATTAAAGACCTCCATACTACTTTCTACCCCTACTTCCCTCCCACTCGCCCCATCATATCTGCTATAGTGAACTTGGTATGGATCCCATTTTTACTGTAGACAGCATTTCCTTATGTGTTTAAATTACGCAAACTGGTATTATTCAATGCATATTCATTTACAATCTGTTTTTCACGTAACATTCTTTTTTGTTTTGTTTTGTTTTGCTTTGAGAAATTCTCACTCTGTCACCCAGGCAGGAGTGTGTGCAGTGGTTTGATCATGGCTCATTGTGGCACCAAGTTCCTGAGCTCAAGTGAACCCTCTGCTGCAGCCTCCTGAGTAGCCAGGTCTACAGACACATGCCACCATACCTGGCTGATTTTTAAAAATTTTTGTAGAGATGAGGTCTCACTATGTTGCTCAGGCTGGTCTTGGATTCCCGGCCTCAAGTGATCCTTATAATTTTCTCTGTGATTCTCTAAAGGGAATTTTCCTAAAGGAACAATGTGGACCAAGAGTAAGATGATAAGGAACAGTATGGACCGTCTTTGTGAATTAGAAAACAACTGCCCCTCTAAAAGGCATAATCATTGTGGTATATTATCTCAATAGGGAGATATTCAATTTTTTGAGGAGGAGTTTGACTTTTATAATTTTATGTAAAAGTTCATTTTTTAATTCAGTCATCCAACAAATACTTATTGAGCTTGTATTATGTGGTGGGCTTGTTTCTAGGCATTAGGAATACTTCAGTTTTTAGTAGAAGGCTCAAAATCATTCTGACATATTTAGCAAGTCAAAAGAAAAAAGAAGCCAGAGACTACCAGGTAGAGTCTCCAGGCTGCAGGTGTGTGATTCTGGGATGCAATCTGCTCCAAATTCCTGAAATTTATTAGATTATATAGCACCCTTTTCCCCTCATTTCATAGATTACCTTGCACAATACAAGAACATACATTTGGTTATTTCTTAAATCATGATATTGCCTATCACTTTAGTCATTTGTAAAGCTCACCAAACTTTGGAATATATATTGCCTTATTGCTTGATAAAACATTGTCCAAATTAATTTTCCTATGAACCTTTCTCAGTGCTATCTTTGCTTATCCCTGTCCCTGACTACTGTTTTTCCCTATCAACCATGATTCACAGTTGTTGTTTACCTATAAATATTTCAGTGGGGTAGGATTCCTCATATTATGGTTTGCGATTATTAAAATAAAAAGAAATACTTTTTCATAATTCTGTGGTCAATAGCCTTTTTCCAGTCTATTCATTGCATTAGTAAATTGCCCTTAGCCCAACACTTAATGGTAAAAGAGTAAATCCTTCCTTTAACTGTTAATTCTCATTCAAGCTTTCACAAAAGCTAGTAAACATCCTGTTTTTTCTCAGTAATTCATTTTGTAATGACTTCCCTTAAATCCTTTTTTAAATTGACTAAGAGCAGTGCATTACTCAGCTGAGAAGATGTAAAGCTGAATAAGAATGAAGAACATGATTACCAAAAAGTGAGGTACTCCCAATTACTCCACTTAAAGTTTAAACTAAAAGAATTGAAAATTTCTATATCTCCCCTGCCCTTTTTCCCTAGCTCCCAGCAATAATTTTCCAGAAGAATGCAAGACTATTTGACCTTATGTTTGTTACCTGAACTTTTTAACACAAGAAACTTGACCAGGGTTATAATAAATTCAATCAGAAAGACAACTCAGTATTCCAAATCCCCATC